ACTGTATTCATGTCACATTACTTCCCATTGTACTTTATTCTTGTTACATTACTTCCCATTGTACTGTATTCATGTCACATTACTTCCAATTGTACTGTATTCATGTCACATTACTTCCAATTGTACTGTATTCATGTCACATTACTTCCAATTGTACTGTATTCATGTCACATTACTTCCCATTGTACTGTATTCATGTCACATTACTTCCCATTGTACTGTATTCATGTCACATTACTTCCCATTGTACTCTATTCATGTCACATTACTTCCCACTGTACTGTATTCATGTCACATTACTTCCCATTGTACTGTATTCATGTCACATTACTTCCAATTGTACTGTATTCATGTCACATTACTTCCCATTGTACTGTATTCATGTCACATTACTTCCCATTGTACTGTATTCTTGCCACATTACTTCCCATTGTACTGTATTCATGTATCATTAATTACTGTATCATTAAATTTCACTAGATTTTTTTTTAATGTTTTGCAGCTGAAGACTTTTTATAAGTATTCTTTGTGATCATGAACAAGTTCTTACTTTTTATAAGTATTCTTTGTGATCACGAACAAGTTTGTACTTTTTATAAGTATTCTTTGTGATCACGAACAAGTTCTTACTTTTTATAAGTATTCTTTGTGATCACGAACAAGTTCTTACTTTTTATAAGTCTTCTTTGTGATCTACGAAGAAGTTCTTACTTTTTATAAGTCTTCTTTGTGATCTATGGAGAAGTTCTTACTTTTTTATAAGTATTCTTTGTGATCACGAAGAAGTTCTTACTTTTTTATAAGTATTCTTTGTGATCACGAAGAAGTTCTTACTTTTTTTATAAGTATTCTTTGTGATCACGAAGAAGTTCTTACTTTTTTATAAGTATTCTTTGTGATCACGAAGAAGTTCTTACTTTTTATAAGTATTCTTTGTGATCACGAAGAAGTTCTTATATTTTTCTTTAAGCCTAATTTGCCCATTTTACAATTAATTCAAGCCAACCAGTTTCAGCTATGAAATGACAAGCACGTAATGCAAACAAACCAATTTTAATCATTAAACGAATAACAGTTAATTAATTCAAACTTACCATCAATTTCGTAATCTTGTACAAATGCCAATTTTCTGTATAATAAAATTATGATATCTTATGCTTACGTGATGATATGTATATATTTTTAACAGTTATGGGGGAAAGATAAATAAATGTTGTGTTTCTTCAGATGTACGAAACTTTGATGTCAGAGAGACGTGGATTGTAGAAATGGATGATCAGAATGGTGGCACAACACAGTTGGTAAATGCTTTCTTACTCTTTGTCTCCAATAATTTTATACTTGACAATTGAAATTATGAAATTTGTGCAATTGAGTCACTAGTACAGGTTAATTCATAATGACTGTCTCATTTTTTTCTTAGGATACACAAATTGCAGTAACCAGTTTTACTTACTTAGAAAATATCATTGACCTTAGCATATGTACACCACAATGTTTATAACTTCATTTTGCTTCTTGTACACTAATATACAATGCACACTATTATTATACTTGATAAAATATCCACTCTTTTAGCCATAATATGATAAAACCATATTACTGGTAAAGTTAAGAAAACTGGATATATAGATACGGCATGGCTAAGTGGCTAGGGCGCTCGACTCGCAATATGTGGGTCGTGAGTTTGAATCCCCATCATGCCAAACATGCTCGCCCTTTCAGCCTTGGGGACGTTATAATGTGATGGTCAATCCCACTATTCGTTGGTAAAAGAGTAGCCCAAGAGTTGGTGGTGGGTGGTGATGACTAGTTGCCTTCCCTCTAGTCTTACCCTGCTGAATTAGGGATGGCTAGTGCAGATAGGCCTCGTGTAGCTTTGCATGAAATTCGAAACAAACAACATATAGATACTAATTAATTGTATTATGATATATAAATACTAATTAATTGAATTATAAATTTGGTATAAGTACTGTAGATTCATAATTTATTTCTATCTGAAATACTATGGTTTTTACTTCATTACTTTTAATTTGTGTTACAAGAACTATAAATGTTTGTTGTTTTGTTAATTTTTGAATCAAAATTCTCTTTTGTTTTCTCTCATCAGTAGTTGGAAACCAATTGGTAGCATGATCCTAAAACTATTATTTTTTCAATTTATTATCATATGCACAGTTTAATAAATTTGAAAGATGACAGTTGATTGATGAAACTTAAACTTAATATGTTTGTATACTGTGTATGATACAGTGCTATAGATTAATTTTGTAGCTGATTATGTTTACTCTTCATTTTAGCCGCTTTTGTTTGAAAATCGTGTGGTTGAGACTTTGCAGTTGGTGAGAGAGATAGTTTTAAAGTCAGGCCATCAGGAACAAGAGGTAAGTACAATCTTAGAAGAAGGTGTTTTTATATACCAGATAGTTTTACAGTCAGGCCATCAGGAACAAGAGGTAAGTACAATCTGAGAAGAAGGTGTTTTTATATATCAGATAGCTTTACAGTCAGGTCATCAGGAACAAGAGGTAAGTACAATCTTAGAAGAAGGTGTTTTTATATACCAGATAGTTTTAAAGTCAGGCCATCAGGAACAAGAAGTAAGTACAATCTTAGAAGAAGGTGTTTTTATATATCAGATAGTTTTACAGTCAGGCCATCAGGAACAAGATGTAAGTACAATCTTAGAAGAAGGTGTTTTTATATACCAGATAGTTTTAAAGTCAGGCCATCAGGAACAAGAAGTAAGTACAATCTTAGAAGAAGGTGTTTTTATATACCAGATAGTTTTACAGTCAGGCCATCAGGAACAAGAGGTAAGTACAATCTTAGAAGAAGGTGTTTTTATATACCAGATAGCTTTACAGTCAGGCCATCAGGAACAAGATGTAAGTACAATCTTAGAAGAAGGTGTTTTTATATACCAGATAGCTTTACAGTCAGGCCATCAGGAACAAGAGAAGATCTTGAGTTTTTATATAAGTTCACTAGTTTTGCAGCCAGATCGCCAGGAATCGGAGGGTTATAGCTAGGATGATTAGATGTACACACCATGGCTGCTGCCATTGTACCCCCCCCCCCTTTGGCCAGGCAAAAAAAGTTTTTATTTTCATATTTACAATTTTAATGGTTTTGAAAATTGTAAATTCCTTTGTGAAAGTTTGATAAAACAATCCACATGAGCAGTCACTGGGCAAACATGTTATAAGGTGAACAATGAATGTAAAAAATAATGATGGAGCCTAATTTTACTGTAGGCTGAGTTTTATTATTTTAACAGCAGGTAATTGATACAAATTAGTCACAATGAAATTAAAAAAAGTTTTTCTGCAAACAATACAAAATATAATTTTATAATTTAGATATCTGTACAATTCTGAAAATATTTTTTACACACCACAAAATTTTATTGGAAAGAAAATAGGTTATGTATGGTATCCAAAGTGGATGGTATTGTCTGATGTGCCATATGAAGTACAAGTGAATTAGCATGGCATAGACTGTTTCTTTAGTTTCACATGCAGGTTTTTTTCCTGTGGACTTTTCTTGAGAAGTATTTTAGCGAGAAGGTTATTATTCTTAAGTTTTCAAGAAAAGTTTTTGTTTGTAACAAGCTAATTGCGGAGTAAACTGTTCTGCAACAAAGAAAATTTTCATGCTTATGGTGAACTTTTTCTCGGTGATATTTAGTGCTGGACAGCAGTAGTCATATTGCACGGGAGTGATGGGTAATCAAAACGAGTCCTGGATGGCCCAGCCCACTGTAGCTACAACCCTGGGTAGATACGACATAAAATGCTGTTTTTATTTACCATTTAGCTAATTTTATAGTCAGGCCACCAGGAACAAGAGATAAGTCCAATTTTACAAGATGTGTTAGGATACCAGTCATCTAGTTTTCCTGCCAGGCCACCAGGAACAAAAGGTAAGTACAATCATAGGAGATGTGTTAGGATACTAGTCATCTAGTTTTCCTGCCAGGCCACCAGGAACAAGAGATAAGTAGAATTTTACGAGATGTGTTAAGATACCAGTCATCTAGTTTTCCTGCCAGGCCATCAGGAACAAAAGGTAAGTACAATCATAGGAGATGTTTTAGGATACTTATAATCATCTAGTTTTCCTGTCAGGCCATCAGGAACAAAAGGTAAGTACAATCATAGGAGATGTTTTTGGATACCAGTCATCTAGTTTTCCTGTCAGGCCATCAGGAACAAAAGGTAAGTACAATCATAGGAGACGTTTTAGGATACCAGTCATCTAGTTTTCCTGTCAGGCCATCAGGAACAAAAGGTAAGTACAAATTCAGAAAATGTGTTTGTATACCAGTCATTTAGTTTTACTGTCATGCCATCAGGAACAAATCGTAAGATTAAGATTGTTCTTAGTTATTCAGCAAAATTAATTTTCTGGTTACTTTGTAACAACTGATTGACTTTGTTGTTAATTATGTTTTGTGGGTGTTTAGCAAAGTTAATTTTCTGGTTACTTTGTAACAACTGATTGTTATTTATTATGTTTTGTGGGTGTTTAGCAAAGCTAATTTTCTGGTTACTTTGTAACAACTGATTGTTATTTATTATGTTTTGTGGGTGTTTAGCAAAGCTAATTTTCTGGTTACTTTGTAACAACTGATTGTTATTTATTATGTTTTGTGGGTGTTTAGCAAAGCTAATTTTCTGGTTACTTTGTAACAACTGATTGACTTTGTTGTTAATTATGTTTTGTGGGTGTTTAGCAAAGTTAATTTTCTGGTTACTTTGTAACAACTGATTGTTATTTATTATGTTCTGTAGGTGTTCAGCCAAATTAATGTTCAGGCTACTTTGAAACAACTGACTCAGTCTTTACTACATGCTTTTGTACAAGCATTACGGAAGCTAGCCAACTCTGACCAGAAAACTGAAATGTATAAAGAGTGAGTTTATTTCGTACAAAACTTTTCAATATTATTTTGTAGGCTAGAAGCTGTTTTTTAGTTTTACTTTATTTGGACTTTTTCTAGGCATTGCATTCAGAATACTGGGTATGAGGAAACAAATCTGTATGTGTTTTTACAACTTGTTGGAACAGAAAACTCTTCAGTTATTAAATAGTCTTTGATATTTTCAAACTTATTAGCCTGGTACCATAAAGGTTTATAGAACCATCGAATTGTAATATCTCACAGATGTTTCAAGTGACTGGCTCAGTGTCCAGGAATTAAAAAATTCAAGTTGATAAATTTGAAATGTTTTACCAGATCTTCAAATATAGGTATATATATCACAAATGCAATAAAGTTGTGATAGTAAAATGTATTTTATGCATCCATTCCATTAATCATAAACTCTGGTGTTGCTCTTGATGAGGTATTATCTGATAAAGTTCTCATATTTTCCACGCATTTTATTTCTTGCTCTGTTGTGGATTTTCAGAAAGTATTTGACAAGGTGCCACATAAAATGCTTTTTAGAAAAGTTATCTTTGTAGGTGTGTGTGTGGTGGGGGGGGATAGTTTGGCTCAGTAAGATTACTAGGGTAATACCTGGGATGGGAAGATTGTCATATGAGGATAGGTTAAAATCTTCGAACATTGTTTGCTCTTGAAAAAACAATTAGTGGGGATCTGGTTGGTGTGTTTAAGATAGTTAAGGGAATTGATAGTGTTGATTTATCATCGTTTTTATATTTATTTGGTGAGAATAGGGGACACAAATATAAATTTTGGCAGTATAGGAGTCATCTTCAGCTATGACAGCTTTATTTTTCTAATGGGTGGATGGTCTTTGGAATGAGTTTTCTTCAGATGTGTTAGATGCAGTTAATTTAAAAGTGTGTAGGGAAGGCTTGATAAATATTTGAATGGCAAGGGCTGGCTTTGAGTATTTTAATGATTAGTTTAACCCTTTTGAGACGGGTTGGTCTAACTGTGCATGTCACTGTCATTTAGCGAGTTATTTTCAAAATTTAATTCAATTACTTTTCGTTTATGCTATACCAAATAGCATAGCATAAAATCGTGGCTAATATTCCATATTCTAATAGTATATAAGTGTTAAATTCTTAATTGTATAAGGTATTATTTTTAAAAAATCCTGAATTTCCCGTAGTGTGACACATTTTCTCCAGGTATTTTCTCTTCTTTATTTGATACACCACCCCTCCAATAACTACAAAATTAAATGTAAATTACTCACTATAAAATCGTCAGACAAACCATAATTTTTATAGTCTTCAATGCTGTTTGGTTACAGAGCCATCAAATAGAAAATCAGACTCCCCCCTCTCGGCTCACCAACCTGTCACATCCTCTCTTTCAGGATTTGTTAATAGTTCTCTCTCTCTTAGGTTTAATTATATATTATGTATAACCAATAGAAAGCCAAGGCTTTTATCTATCAAATGATGTATTATATTGCTATGTTTTCTGAACAGAGAATTGTCAATTTCTCACTTAATACAAGCTTCATTTCCATGGGAAAGATAGTGACTAGCTTGGATGAATTTGTAACGACTCTTGTCACATAGTTAGAAAACCACAAAATTGTGAGGGTTAGGGAAAATTGTTTGCTTTTTCCATGTTATTAGTCTATGTTCTTTGGTGAATTATTTAATTAAATAAAAATTATTTAGTGCATTACTATAGTGCATTAGTATGAAAAAGTAGGGTTAAGTGTCATCGACAGTTGACAGCGAGAAAAAAGAAGATTGGGTAAGTATTATATTTCTTGTTTTTCATGTTTATTCTTTATTTATTTATATAAAAGTGACTAAAATGTAAAATTAAGGATCTCTTTAGGTTAGTTAAGGTTAGATTAGGTAAAATAATAATATTTCACAAGGCATGCAGGGGAGCAGCTCGAACTGAGAGTGTCTCATGGGTAATGTAACTTGATAGCGTAATGTAAGCTCCACATTCCCCAAGTGATTTACAACTTATAATGGCATAAGTAGTAGTAGTTAGACATGGTGCAAAGGGCAATAAAACAATAAAATTTAAGTATAAATAGA